AAACCCTCGCTACTCCTAACATCTTCAAACCAATTAACAACTCCCCAACAGCTTCACCTCCTACATTTAAACCAAGAAATTAAAGCTTCTCTTTACATTAACATTCTGCTCAGCTAACCCTTCTTGGTGTTTGATATAGTTCAACTTCTCCACATCTTCTTCTCTTTTAAGGCTTTTAAGTGTCTCCTATATTTGCCCTAGATTTCTGAATCTTTATCTTCTTGGGAAGTCTTCTAATGGGTGAAGTTGAAGTTCCTCCATTTTTCCTCTGCCCCATTTCTCTAGACATCATGAAGGACCCAGTCACAGTCTCAACGGGTATAACATATGATCGTGAAAGCATCGAGAAATGGATATTTTCTGAGAAAAACAGTGCGTGCCCAGTCACTAAACAAGTCATCTCCGATTACGAGTTGACGCCGAACATCACTCTCCGGAGACTGATACAGTCCTGGTGCACCCTAAACGCCTCCTATGGCATCGAAAGATTCCCAACACCAAAGCCAGCGATCAACAAAGCCCAGATGGCGAAGCTCCTCCGTGATGCCAAATCTCCACAATTACAAATGAAATGTCTCAAAAAACTGAGATCACTAGCTTCTGAAAGTAAGGCAAACAAACGTTGCATGGAAGCCGCCGGAGCCGTAGAGTTCTTAGCTTCAATCATAAACAACACCAACGAATCATCAGTATCAGACGAATCGGAAGATGGGTTTGATCTCAAAAAAGCCAGTGCTGAAGCACTAAGTATCCTCTATTATCTTGAATTATCCGAAGATGGACTCAAGTATCTCTCCGGCCAAAATGGTGAATTCATTGATTCCTTAACACAGATCATGCAACGGGGGAACTTCGAATCGAGAACTTATTCTGTGTTGTTATTGAAATCGATCTTCGAAGTGGCGAATCCAATGCAGCTGATGAGTTTGAAACCAGAATTATTTGTTCAATTAGTCCAAGTCTTGAAGGATCAGATCTCTCACAAAGCCACCAAAGATACACTGAAACTACTGATCAATGTTTGTCCATGGGGGAGAAACAGAGTCAAAACAGTCGAAGCCGGCACGGTGCGGGAATTGATTGATCTTTTACTCGAAGCCCATGAGAAAAGGGACTGTGAAATGATACTAGTGGTGTTGGATCAACTGTGCCAGTGCGCCGAAGGAAGAGCCGAGTTGTTGAACCATGGAGCTGGGTTAGCAATTGTGTCAAAGAATATACTTAGGGTTTCGAAGATGGCAAGTGAAAGGGCTGTGAGGATTCTAGTTTTTGTTTCGAAGTTTTCTGCAACTCCAAGTGTTCTTCAAGAGATGCTGAATCTGGGTGTCGTGGCAAAGCTTTGCCTGGTCCTTCAAGTGGATTGTGGTAGCAAGACCCAGGAGAGAGCTAGAGAGATCCTTAAATTGCACGCCAAGGCATGGAAGAACTCCGCTTGTATACCCATGAATTCGTTTTCTTCATATCCATCTTAGATAAATAGATAGATAGAGGGTAGTTCATTTGTGTTTTGTGTACATAATTGAATGCTTTAGATTAACATAGAAATACATTGGTCAAAAATAGAATTCATGTAACGATCGATTTCAATATTAAAGAATCCATTCTAATATTTTAGAATAAATCCTTAAATATTAAGATAGATTCCCACCCTATTTCGCATTAACCTCACCAGTCCAATTTATAGTTTAATTTTATTTTGTAGTAATTCCACTTACTGAAAAACAAGTGAGGGATGATATGATGGTTGGAGCCTTTCAGCCTAAAATAAGTGGAACTCAACAAAGCTAACATTGACATTTTTTTAATCACAAAATAATGAAAAACATGTAAAAAATTTCCTTCCATGAATGGTGATTAATTATAAAGCAGGCGTGGTGGACCTCATCAGCCATCCATTGTAGTCCCAGCTGATTGGAGCCTGTGTGAATTACCTACCAAAACAAAGAGTATCAGTTTGACTGGATATCTACCAGTTTAATGTAAATTAAGGGGAGCTAATGGAAAAGGCAGTAAATGGAGACAAAATGGTCCATATTTTCTGGCCGCATTGGTGGAATGCAAATTATATAGTTTTTGTAACTTCTAGAAATCATATTGTTTTTAAATCTTATGAAAATTTCACTCCAATGTCGTGGACATAGGATTTGTGTATAAAATTGATGGAAGAACACAATCAATGGATTAGATTACCCCCAATGAATTGAACCTATGTTTGAAATTATAAAAACCTAGCTATGCCCAATGGTCAAACACTGGTTTAGGGGTAGCTCTTTGGTTGCCAATGGTATTATAGCTATGCACATTCCTCACTGTTGGTTCATCGGTTGAACATAGGGAAAAGTATAAATCCATACGTTTATATTTGATTCCCCTTAATGTTAAACATGGGTTAATTCATTGTGCGCAATGCATGAGCGATTGTGCGTATTCAAAGTTTGCATGCAGAAATGAGTCACATGACTCAAAACGGCAGATGGTTAGGATTATAAGAGTAATTTGTTTAAGCTTGCAAGCTATCAACCAGGCACGCGACCTAACCATGTAAGATCCCTACATACTTTAATTTGGTAAATATAGTTGGATAATGGTAAAATTTTCTCTGTGAGTTTTGTGGAGGTTGGTGGTTATTGATGTTGTGTTTCTATTGAGAACTTAAATGAGGAAAATTATCAAAGTACTTTATTATTAAATATCAAATCATTAGGATTTTTAAATACACTAATTGAATTATCTTAGATAATTTTTTTTAAAAAAACTTAAGGGAAGGTATATAATTTTAGAAAATTTAAAGAGAATAAATGGTATGTTTAAACGTGAAAATTGGGGTTGAGTCCTTCTAAATGGACCGATAATGACTTGAGTCTGACAAGAATACATCTAACGATGTTAATTTTGTTCAATTATAAAAAATCATAAAAATTAATTGATTAAGATATATATGAAATAAAGATATGTCTACCTGATTTTACATTGGTAATTGTCTGTCACAATCTTTTCATAATTCTCTCACTCTCCCCATATAACTTCCCTTTCCTAACCAGACTCCTTACAAGCTCCCATCTCTGTTTTCCCAAATATCAAAGTCCTATAGGCCATTACTACCGCCAATTTAAAAATCCGAACCCACTGTCCTCAACAACCCGCTAAACCTCTCTTATCCGTTATTCCCATAGCATCAAACCCACCAACCAAAAACTTCGACGAAATGTCCCGAAACATGTTACTACTATTTTTTTTTTTTTGGGTATGTTACTACTTTTTTGGATGATCGGTGAGGTTTCGATTTAGTTGGTTGTGTATTTTTGTGAAGAAAACGACGTTGTACCGATACCATTTTTTTTCTATGTTACTATTTTCTGTTTTCTTGGGCTTATTCATGTTACTACCTTTTTTTATGTTAATATTTTTTATTAAAAGTGTTATTATTTTTTTATAAGCATGTTACTGTTAATATTGAATGTTAATATTTTTTCGAAAATATCAATATCCAAATATTATTATTTTTTGTTGAGTATGTTACTTTTGTTTTTTACAAATATTAATATACAATGTTACTATTTTTTTTATTATTTTTTGTGTGAATGTTACTATGTTTTTGTGTTTAAATGATACTATTTTTTGTGTTTAAATTGTACTATTTTTTGTGTTTGAATGTTATTATTTTTTGTTTTTAATGTTAATATTAAATATTACTATTTTTCTAAAATATCAATATTAAATGTTACTATTTTTTAGGAATAATTATAAAATAACCCCTTGAACTATGAATCTTGTTTCAATTAGATCCCTCTTCTTTAAAATTGAACAATTTATCCCCTTCAAGTTTCAGAATGAACAAAAAGACTGACAGATTTAAAATTCATCTGCCGAAAAAAAAAATACAAAACCATTTGAGACCATTCTACCCTTATGAGGTCGAAAATGACAAAAACACCCTTCCCAACCGTCGGAGGTGTCTTATTTAACTGAAACAAATTTCTCATTCATGGCCATTACTGCTGTTAGCCTTCCTCTTTCTCTGTATCTATTTTTTTTCCCTACGAAAAGCAATATTTTATTGACTCTCTCCCTCTCTCTCTCTCTCTCTCTCTCTCCCCACACACACAAATACACACCAACCCATAATATTATACATTTTGCTACTGTGCTTACACCAGAAAAATGGCTTCAAGCCAATCAGCAGTACATGGAGAAAGTGAGAAAGAGTGTTTATGTGGACTAAAATGAAAAGTGAAGACATCATGGACAAAAAAAACTCAGGAAGAAGATTTTATAGCTGTCCCAACTACAAGGCAGTGATACTTCTTTATCAACTATTTTTTTCATGTTTCCTCCAATTGTTATGTTGATATAACCTTTACTTTGTAAAGTGCAAGGAAAGACATCTTGCAAATATTTTGACTGGTATGAACCAAAGATGACAAACAGGGAAAGAAATATCATAGTTGGTTTCATGCGCAAGACGACAAAGCTTAAGAACAAGATTAAATACTTAAGAAGGAAGGAGAAGATAATATATGCAATCATTATTGTGTTCATAGTTGTTTATCTCATGATGTATAATGACTAGAAACAACTATGTATTCATTGGTCATGTAACAAATGCAATCTGTGAAATGCAAGATCTATTGAAATAGTAGAATGCAACATCCATTTTATTACATACTAAGCAAAAGCACGTCACTGTGTTGGAGGATACATCAGGTCATTACATGCCTAACAAGACACAAAAGATGGGTTGATTTCTAAACAACACTAAAGTGCAGTGCACTCCAAAACAAAAAAGTGTGCTAACAACACCAACATAGTTCAAAGTCAAAACAAGCTCCACTTACCTCCCTTAGAGTTGCCTTTTCATCCCTAGGATTCGTGTCATTCTTCTTCATCTTCGACCTTCCAAGCATCCCAATGCCTTTGGGACCTCCAGAACCAGTACATTCCAAATTCTTGATAATTTTTAAACCCCTAAGCCCAATTGCAGACCTACCGGGAGGTGGAAGTCAACTGCCACTGATATTGATATTCCCTTTGGATGGTTGTGAGCTACTTGTAGGTTTTGAGTTGCTACTCCCAGATCCAATAATTGGTTGTGAGCTACTCCCAGTTTTTGCAACACTTCTTTTCTTTCCCGAATCATGTATCTATGACAAATAAGTTGTATATGTTAGTAAACATTAAAACACATATTTACATCTACTAACATGATGAAATACATGATAATCTTACCTTTGTCTTAGTTTTTCTGTTGCCACTGCCTGTAACTTTCTTTGGAGCAGTGAAAGACCTTGAGTTGTGTCCAAATTTGTGGCATTTACCACAACGAAGAGAATTTTGTTTCTTTCGTATGATATATGGGTTCTTTACCCCATCATCTTGTTTCTTCCTTAACTTCTTAGGTCTTCCTGGCTGTCTTCTCCACAATGGTGGGTTGATCACATCCATTCCCAATGACGCCCATTGGCTCCTATCAGGAATTGGGTGGATGATTTGGGAGTAAGCTCCCATATACGTCTCAGTGTGGTAGTAAAGATCCACATAATCTTCAGCTTTTCCTTTATGAAATGAGATGGCTGGCACTGCATGTCCACATGGAATGCCAGTAACATCCCATCTTCTACATGTACAAATTCGATTTTCCAGATTTACCACATAAGTCTTACCAAATCACTCAACTTCATACTCTCCTTGTCCAGCCCAAATTTTTATGCAATGCTTTACCTTTTCTTTTTGTGCATCTAACTTTTTCTGAATTTTAGGGCATAAAAAACCGGTGTGATGCATCAAGCTCTCTCTTTTTTCTTGTAACCTTTTCATGAGTTTTTTTCTTATCATCTCAACCATTGTGATAAATGGCTTGTCTCTTGCATCCAAGATCAATATGTTGAATGACTCTGACACATTGTTGCATAGTGTGTCAGTCTTGGGGTGTATACTAAACAAAGACTTGGACCACAATGTTGGGTTTATGCCCCTCAAATACCAGTAAGCCTTTTCATCTAACATCCTGATTTCTTTCATGCATTCCTCAAACTCCAAAACTCTATATGCTGATGTTGCTGCCCACATTGTATCTTTCAAAGTCTTACCTTTGAAACCTTTGTCCTTGAAATTGGCATACATGTACCTTAAGCAAAATCTATGATCTACTCCTGCCATCACAGTATTGAAACGTTCGACCAATCCCTAGTGAAAACAATGCACAAATCAGAAGTTAGTTATAGGGCACTATGTTATACACATCAATGGAAAAAGTATAAGTGAAATGAAAATTGCATACCTTTTGCCTATCTGAAATGAATGTCCACCCTCTATCAGATGAAGTACCAATAGCCTCGGTTAAGTGAGTTAAAACCAAGTCCAAGAGTCTTTAGCTTCAGCCTCAACCACTACAAATGCTATTGGATACATCCCCTCATTACCATCCTTCCCCACCGAATGCAACATTTGTCCACCATATGGACCCTTTAGGTGACAACCATCTAAACCTATCATTGGTCTACATCCTGCCATAAATCCATCTCCTATAGCACTTAAACACACACACAATCTTTGAAACACAAGTAAAATCTCTAAGCTTGGCCTTTCAACTTTCAACAAAAGAACACTATTAGGGTTGCTTCTTCTTACCATATCACAGTAATCCCACAACATGTTGCACTGCTCCTTGTGATTGCCTTGTATCATCTCAAGTGCCTTTCTTTTTGGCCCTTTCTTACCATCTCACAGTATCATCTCATGTTGTATTACTCCTTGTAAAAATCCCACAACTTTGTTGCATTGCACTGACTTTCCAATCTGGATCATCTCTCAGTTTCTCAACATATGTCATTGCTAATCAAGACGCAGTTGCTTTTTTATTCTGATAGGTACGTGTACAATTGTGTGTTGGCTTGAAGCTTTTTATTTGAAAACTTAACTTATCTTGCATGAGTGATGCATGCATACGCCAACCACAAGACTGTGAACACACTGCTGTGACCCTATCGCCATCATTCCTAAGGTATTTGAAGTCAAACCCATCCATAATAGCATGTCATCTAAATGCCATCCTAAGTATGGTAGCTGAACTAAAGATCATTCCCAGTGTCAATTTAGGATAAGACATATTAGTGTTCTCCATGAATTCTTGATACTCACGTGTATTACATCGTCGTCTGAGTTAAGCGGACTATATAAATGATCATTGTCCTCATCAGACAAGCAATCATTTAATTTGGCCTTGCCCTTATCAAAACTATTCCCCCTCCCAACACCAGAACATTCCTCTCCAATTTTTGACTTTCCCTTGTCAACCCTACTTCTATTTTCAAGACCAGAAGAATGTACCCCATCAGGCACACCATCATAAAAGTACAAGAAGTCCAAATCTGATAAATAATCAAATAAGTCAACATATCTTACCACTGTATCAGGCAAAACAGCACAAAAAGTGGAACCATACTCAGTATTGAATTCATAATCAAAGGTAGGAGTATCAAATTTATCTATAACAGTTGATATACCTCTACTACCTTCATTAATCTGCTCAGTGACTACATACAACCTAATAATATCATTCCCCTCATAACATGCAAACATGTTCAGTACATCGTTGTCCGAAGCCAAATACCTTAAACCATCGTCACTATCTGCATCTGGTAGCATATAGGAGACTGCGTATCTTGTATCTTTATTATAACCTAGAGTTTGAGTTTCCACCATGTCATCTACCTCAATTTGAGACATCAAATCTGGGTCAATGTTATCAAACCTGTTAATTTTACCTCCATTGTATATTAAAACAAGACTAAAAGAGACAAAATGCCTTCCATGTTGAAACTCCAAAGTTAAGTAACTTGTTTCCATCTGCACAAAACAACACAAACTCAGTAAATTTGTTTAATGGGGGACCATCAACCTTGATGATGCCCTAAATTTGAGCTAAAATATTTTATCTTTAAGCTCAAACATAGTGAAAGTTGTTTAATAGGGGACCACAGTTAGTGATACTGCCTAAAAAAAAAAAAGTGATACTGCCATAAAGGTGAACAAAAATAAGTCTGAGTACATGGTTCCCAAAATGCCAGACAAGGAATCAAAGGCAAAACAAAAAGCTATAAAACCAAAAGAAATCACATGGTTCTAACAATGTCAAACAATGAACCCAAAATGTAAAACAAAAAGCTTCAACATAAGATAAATGAGCTGGATTCGTCGTTTAATTGAACATTCGAGCTCAATCAACACAAGATGCCCACAAACCTTTATTGCACCATAACCTTCAATCCACAAACACAAGATGCCTACAAGCAGGTTCACCTACAATCGAACATTCGAGCTCAATCAACACAAAATGCCCACATTGTTTATGCACCATAACCTTCAATCCCCTTCATGTCGTTGCTTTCTTTGCTTAGATCGTGTACAGCAAGAAGCATCTTAGAAAAGATAAAGAGAGTTAAAAAAAAATAGGTTTCATGAGTTTAAATTTGGGTTAGAGTTCTATTTATATGATAAGTGATTACCTAACCGTGGTTAAATATTTGGCGCCAATACATCAACTAGGGTGAAGGATAGTTTTGGAATTTCACCTACTCAGTCATCTCGGTCTGTCTTTTTGCTCATTCTGAAACTTGAATGGGACAAATTGTTCAATTTTAAACCAGAGGAATCTAATTGAAACAAGACTCATAGTTCAAGGGAATATTTTGTAATTAATCTTATTTTTTATTGAGTATGTTACTATTATTTATTCAAATATTAATATACAATACTATTATTTTTTATTTTTTAATAATACTATTTTTCGTGTTTAAATGGTATTATTTTTTATGTTTAAATGATAATTTTTTTTGGAAAATTACATCCAGATCTCCTGAAATTTGTCACTTAATTACTCAGACACTCTGACATTCGAAATATTACACATAGACCTCTTGAGATTTGTACGCGCCTAACACTTAGACTTCTGCTGTAAATATATCAGTTAATAAATTATACTTAGACTCTCTGAAGTTTGTAGGTATACAATACTTAGACCCTTTAAGTTTAAAATATTGTACTTATACCAAAAATACTCTAATCAATAGAACATCAAATATTTTAAATTTTACAACCGAAATTCATGTTCTATTGTATAATTTATTGAAATAAAATTACAAATAAAATTTTAATTTTTGCTTAAAAAATCATAATTAGTATAAAATTATACTTTTTTATTTGAATAAAATTAAAAAATCAAACAAGGGGTCTAAGTCATTCATAATAGAACATGAATTATATATATATAAAGTACAATGCACTTTAAATCTCAAAAGATAAATAAAATTATTTTTCCTATTCGCGGTTGAGATTTCTTTAAATTTTACTTTAAAGTTAATCTGACGGTTAATATTAAAATCTTAAATTTAATAAGAAAATAGGCCCCTAAGGGAGTGTTTGAAATAATTTTTTAAAAGTATTTTTAGAAATTACTTCTCATGAGTACTTTAAAAAAAATATATGTTTGAAACCGCTCCACCACTATCTTTATCACCCCCACCACTCCACCACCATTACCGCTGCCACCACCACTACCCTTACCCCCCCACCACCACCACTATCGCCACCCTACCACCCCCACCTTACCACCACCACTATCACCACCGTCATCACCACTATCATCGCCCCACTACCACCACTGCCCCACCATCACCACTGCCACCACCTTCTCCACTACCACTACCAACATTGCCCCATCACCACCCGCACCCCCCATCGCTCATCACAATTAGCCTCACTATCGCCAACCCACCACTACCACTCCCATCACCGCCACTGCCCCACTTGCACCCCCACCCTCACTGCCCCATCACCACCATTATCACCCACCACTGATTGCTACCATCGTTGTCCATTGTCACCACCCACCACCATTATTATGTAATTTTTATATATTTTTATTATTATTACCACCATAATCCCACTATCATCGTCGCCTACCGTCACCTATTACCACAACCCATCGCCACCTTGTCGTCGTCCACCATTACCACTAGCCACTGTCACCCACCCCCACCACGCCTACCATCACCACCCCTCGTCATCACCCACCACTATAGCCGCCCACTGTCACCTACCCCCACCACACTTGCCATCGCCACCATTCGCCACCACCAATCACATTGTCGCCTAGAAGCACTCATCGTCACCCACCACCTCCATCGTCATTGTCCACTACCACCATCGTCGTCCCACCCCCCACCATTGCCAACCATCATCACCGTCGTCTACTACCACCCATACCTACCACTACCACTGCCGACACCCATAACTGCCACTACCATCATCGTTACCCAAAACACACCATCACTGTCGTAACCGATGGCTACCACTACCATCATCATCACCCAAAACTCACCACCACCATCACCATTGTCACCCACAGCTGTCACCACCACTACGATTGTCACGACCCACCATAACTATCACCATCTCCCACCATCACCACTGCCGCCCACCACCACTAACATCGTTCACCTTCATTATAATCGGTAGTTAAATTTTTTTATCTCTTCTTTATATTTGTGATTTGATTTTGGGTGTGAATACAAATATATTTATTGTTGATCCATTTTTTTATTATTTTGTGCCTTGAGACACGAAAAATAACTAGTGTGTATGTATATATATGTATATATATTTTATCTTTCAGATGTTTTAAACACATAATGTGAGACTCAATCATGTATTGCATACATATTAGTATAATTATGTGGACTAATTACAATTATGTGAAATTAATTATTAGATAGAATTTTTGTATGAAAATAATATTGGGTTGGTTTTGGAATCACTTAAAAATTTGGAGGGAGGCAAGTAGAATTATTAAAATTGCATGGTAATATCTTTACACATGTGTCAAATAAAAGGTGGTGGGTTATTTTAAAAGTTATGTATGTAGGTGGGTGTATGCCAAGTGTTTGTGCGTGTCTTCAGGTATAGTGAAGTGTGTGTGTGTGTGTAATGCATGGAACAATGTGTGTGTGTGTACTTCAATATGTAGTAAAGTAAATGTATTTAAAGACAAATAAGTGTGTGTCCTAGCTATATGAAACCGTGAGTGAGAGAGAGTAAAGGAGAGGAAGAAGAAAGAAAACAAACAAAAGAAAAGAAATAAAGAAGAATTTGGGGGACTCCATGTCAAACCAAAAGTAAGAAGAAAACAAGAAGAAGGTAGGACAGTCAGTATAGAGACGGTTACGAAAACACTAGAAGGATCCACCGATAGAACCACAGGGACGTAAATCAGAATATTTGAGGTGTGTGTATATCTTTATATGTTTTGAAAATGCTATTATAAGATGATGTTAGATGATAGAATTTAATAGCATTCCTTCAGAATTATGTGTTATGTGCTTTATGTGATTGGATGATGCTTTGTATTGTGTATTGTGCATTGTGTATTGTGGAATGTGGGGGATTGTTTAAGACAGGAGTGTCGATGCTTGATCACTGGGCGTGCAGTGGTGTCCTAGCATTATAGTGTTACCGGGAGGTTCGGGAGACACGATCCATGTGGGATCGTTTACTTGAAGAAGGGTAGTATGGATGTGTTGTGAGTTGTGAATTCTTTAAAATTGGATTGATATTGTTTGATACGTGCATTTACATAGTATTTACCTACTTCTGTGTATTACTATCATTTTCATTTCTTATACGACATGTATACTCACTAAGCGCGTGATTTAGCTCATACCCCTACAGCTTCTCATTTTCAGGTACAAGATAAGGAGACACAAATCAATTCACTGTCAAAAGGGTTAAGTTTTGTACAACATTAGTATGATATTCTATTTGTTATATTTAGTTTTAAATGAGTAAATGATACTGATCAAGGAACTATATAATTATTTGTTGGGTTGTATATTATGTTAGAATTCCTACATCTACAGCACGGGAATCAGTCAGTGATGGAATACGAGAAAAAATTTAACACTTTATCTAAATTTATGCCTTCTGTTGCTGCATGAGACTAAATTACAATATTAGATTTCGTATTTCGATGCTAGAATTAACAACATTTTCAGAATTATACAACAAAACCTTAATTGTGGAAGCTGATTTGAAGGAAATAAAAAGTGCAAGTGAGTTGGCAAAAAGGGGAAGATATAAGCCAAGTGGACAGGGTTCCAAGGGAAGTTTCTTTAGCAGATCCTAGAAGGAAATGTTTCCAAAGGGTGCAAGTAAGAAGAAATCAGGAGTCCCATCCCAGGGTCAAGGACAGGGAGTAAGTGGATCATTTTCATTTGCACCGGGTCGAGAGATGGGACAAACTCGGGGGAGTACAATTACTTATTACTGTTGCAAGCAGGTTGGGCACATTATACGAAACTGTCCTATGGGAGGATCAGGACCTATTATGTCACGGCGTTGTTTTTTATGTGGTCAGAAGGGACATATGCCAAGAGATTGTTCGCCCAAGGTTCATCGATGGGCAGTGCATCTACGGTGTCCCGAGGAGCAGTGAGTGGCAAAGGTCGAGGACCAGGAGACAGTATCGGAGGAGGCAGTACTGGAGGTAGCGGTGTTGGTGGCAGTGGATCAAGTAGGCGTTTGGCTGGAGATCGTGTTTTTGTACTTACCCAGCGGGATGCTCAGGCAACCTCGGATGTGGTTACAGGTGTGATATCTATTTTTGGTCAGCAAGCATGAGTACATATAAATTCAGGTGTCCACACATTCATTTATATCACTGTCATTCTCCATGCATACTAATAGACCACCTACTCCATTAGATTGTGGATTGACTATAGTTACTCCCACGGGTGATTGTGTTATGGCTAGGGTAGTATATAGGGAGTGCCTAGTTTAGGTGGGTGATAGAGAATTACCTACAGATTTTATACCTTTTGAATTTCAGGATTTTGATTTGATTTTAGGAATGGATTGGTTGTCTACATATCATGCCACTATTGACTGTTTTTGTAAGGAAGTAGTACTTAGAATTTCACATGTTCCTTTGTTTCAGTTCTTTGGAGAGCGACACCCTGAACCGAAGAATTTGATATCAGCAATTAAAGCCAAAAAATTACTCAGGAAAGGATGCTACGGATATTTGGCTTATGTGAAAGATACTCAGAGAGGTACTCTTGAACTGAAGAATATTCCTGCAGTTAATGAATTCACTAATGTGTTTCCTGAAGAGTTACCAAGGTTACCAATTGATCGGGAGGTGGAATTTGTGATTGAGTTTGTGTCAGGAACTAGTCTCATATCCATTACTCCATACAGGATAGCTCCAGCTGAATTGAAGGAACTTAAAGTGCAGTTGCAGGATTTGCTAGATCGGGGATTTATACGGCCGAGTGTATCTCCGTGGGGTGCACCATTATTATTTGTAAAGAAAAAAGATGGCACTATGAGATTATGCATTGATTACAGACAGCTGAATAGGGTG